CTTGTCAACCACCGACAGTTCGTCCTGAACATGGTAAAATGGAACAAGCGTATTGGCCAGCGACTTCTTTGAGGGCCATCCTCGTGGACGAAACGCACAGCGTCCTGCAGGGTAGCATCTGCTGCGGTTGCTTCTTGCAGCCGTTCCTTGGCTACACATGATGTAACATTGGAGACTATATTCTCTTTCTCTTGACCTGTAAAATCTTCCGCTGACAACCGTGACAACGTATCAGCCACGCAATAGACCCTTCCCGGAATTCAGTGAGATCTGGTGACTCAAATCGCAGTTTCTTTTAGTATACTAATGGCGGCAATGAACCTGTGGTCTGCAGTATTTAGCAGGGCAACGTCACTTAAAGGTCAACGGTAAGATAATGTGAACTTCACTACAATTATTTTTCAATCTCTTTTAGTGTCGATGGCGAAACAAATGCAGCCAGTCGGAACGAAACGCCAACCCATATAGACGCCTTGATAGAGTTGTATAGACGCTTTACACACGCGCCAAATTACAGCCGCCATTGCTGACCTTCTCTTGTCTTACCGAGATGCCGAGCAACTGAAACGGTAGTTGACGATCCTCTACAAAGGCCGATGCTTTAGAAAAGGACACAATTGAATCTAATATGGCAATAACCTGGCCTGCTATGGTAATGATGAAGTAAAATAAACGAAATAAGAGGAAACAAAAACTGAAGGTCAGTTATGGCGGCGTCCATGCAGAGCTGCTGCAAAGCGTCTATACATCAAGTGGCTTTGAAGCCGAGTAAGTGCTACTAACAGATTGACTGGGACCGAGTTAGAAATGAACGCTTACGCAGCTCTTGTGTCCAATTTCTGCTTCACGCCGCGCTAACATCTAGAATGTATAGGCTTCGAATCATCTGCTTAGGACAGTGTTGTGCCCGTTACCGAAAAAAAGTAACGAAATAGCGTTACTCGTTGGTTTGGTAAAAAGTAACGCGTTATCGAGCTACGTTACTCTTTTACAAACGTAACGATATACCGTTACCGTTACTTTTCAAAAATAACGAACGTTACTCTTACGTTACTTTTTTGTTCGAGTAGTTTGGCAGAGATGTATGATAAGCCTCCTTAACAAGCTTGGATAAAGATAAAAATTTACAGAGTGGTTTTATAGTGTTTTGATGCGCGAAGCAGATTAGTTTTCGGCATGCAGAATAGGCTTTGAGACTGCAGATTACCTTATTCTGTCTCCTTTAGTTGATACATTTCATTCAGATCTGCTAGCCATGGCGACGGACTTTCGTTATTCATGCCCATCTCACGCGCAGAATGAGTCGGAGATGTTAGTCAGTCGGCTTTTATAAACTACAGCATGCGAACGAGGAATGCTGGAACACAACCAGCCAACCAACACCCCTCATGTGTACGCCGGTTTTAGTAACAGTCCGGTTCTTACTACTACCAGAGACTGATTTACTTCACTATCTGGAAAAGGACACCGGTTACCAGCACACTGGCTATAATCACTCGGTGCCTCTTACCAGCAGTAGCTCTTAATTTTTCTGTGAAAAAAAAAGGTTTCGTGTTTGTAAGTTTTCTTTTCAGGTTTAAAACTTTTTTTTCTATTTTTTTATCATGACCTTAGGGAATTAAAGATTAATCAAGCGAAAGATTCTTCTGTGTACAAAAGTGGGTCAGGAACTTTCAGGCAGCGAGGGGGAGAGCAAGGGTAAAAATATTCCACAAAGGGTGTTTCTTTTTTTTTTTTTTTTTGAAACTAGAGAAATGAGCAAATCGCTTTGCCACTAGTTGTCCACTGTTGTAAACGGATGTCTCTCCACGGCTTCCCCCCCCCCCCCCCCCCCCCCCGCTGTCCACTTCTGCTGTACAAAGCAGGGGGGGGGGAAGAGGAGGGAGGGGAGGAGGCTGTAACGCAGTCGTTCTTCAAGCCTTGTGGGTGCTGACACTATAAAAAAAAAAAAAGGAGGACGAACGGAATTAGCTGGTAACCGAAGGTTTTTTTCGCCTTCAAGAAGTGAGTTTTTTTTTTGTTTTTTCTAACTTTACAGTGACGGATGCTGGTTCCGTGCAGCGATAAGCTGGTGCATGATTTTGAGGCAAGCTCGTACAGGATTTCACCGGTTTTGGTTAAAAGTAACGAGTAACGAGTAACGAAATTTGGTAGCCGATACCGTAAAAAGTAACGGAAATACTTTACTCGTCAGTCATTCAGAATACTAACGAGTACGTTACTGCGTTAGCAAAAAATGTAACGCGTTACCAGTAACGTCGTTACTAGTAACGCGTTACCTCCAACACTGGCTTAGGAGCATCTTCAACTTCTTCCTTCATCAGTAAACGGAAGGCCGCCATTAGTATAGCACATATGCCGTTTTCAGATGATGATGATATTAATCAAAGTGGCCAGACTGAATTCCAGAAAGGGTCTATTGTCCGCGCCCCGCTAGCTGGTACTCAATGTCGAAGTTGTAATACAGCAACCGTGCAAACCATCTTGATATTTGCAATGGCCGCGGTGTCCCGATTCCTTGGATGCCAGCAAAGTCGCCAGTGCTTGGTGATCTGTTCTCAATATAAAACGACGTCCCCACAGGTAAATGTGTCAGTGCTCACACTTAAAAACACAAGCCAACGCCTTTCTCCCCCCCACAGAGCACCTTTTCTCAGCAGAAGACCGAGTCCGTGAAGCAAAAGCCACGGTGTGGAGCTCCCTGCCATACTGTTGCTGTAGCACAGCGCCCAGCCCCTTGTTTGACGCATCACTCGTCACCACGATAGGTAGATCAGGCTGGCACATTCGTATCACTGGTCCAGATGACGGAACAGCTTTCACTTGATCAAATCTGTGCTGTCATCTGGGCCAATGATGCGGATGTTCTAGCCTGATCTATCTGTCGTGGTGACGAGTGATGCGTCAAACAAGGGGCTGGGCGCTGTGCTACAGCCACCATCCTCGTCATCAATATATAATTGTAAGTGATTGGTGGAAAGGGGGAGTTTCAAGGTGCTGAGTGCGTTTACTGAGTCAGGAAAGGTGACATTAACGAGACAATTTCCTTAAATATGAGGCGAAACTGTGAATGTGAGGTGCGCCTTCGGGGTTTGGGTTAAAACTCCCACGAGCCGAATCTTCAGTTTTTACCGTCCACTCCGTCTTGGCCGCTGCAGCGAGTGCAAAGATTGTTTGCGTTCTGAACGTCGCCCTAACGTCAACGTCACTTGCGTTGCCCTTTCAGTTACGAAGAGTCGCAAATTTCAACTCTAATGTACCGAAATTATATACTTGAACAGATTCTTACTATATAGAAATTGTGATTGGATATTTATTAAGCTGATTCCCTCCGATAGGGGAATATCTCTGGCCAGTGGTTGATCACAAGAGCTGTCAATCATCGCACCCAAGGTCAGTGAAACGATTTCGGCCAATGACGCGTGCCGTTATTTTCGCTTTATTCTTACCAATTAATATAAAACATCTCTACAAAAAACGGCTTTAACCGCGCGGCTTTATTTATATAGATCAGATTCGAGCGACGCGGCGCTGCGCGGAAGTGGCGTACGTAGGAACGCCAGCACGGTTGCTATGGGTTGCACAGTGGAGAGAATGGCGTTGGGGAAAAGTCTTTTCGGTTTACGGACACAACCCATTTCCGCTTTAGATCGGAGTCATGTGGAAAGCGATGAAGCTTAGACATTGCAGCCGCATTCGCCGGATTCCGTGCAAACTAGATAGGTCCTCGGACAGAAGTCGATGCTTTCTGCCGTTATTCGTGCACCCTAACCGAGCGATGGTGTCCCGATGACCGGGGGACTATCGCCATCCAAGCCCGTGGCTTTAATCGACCTTTTCCGAGAAGCGTTCTGCGCACGCGCAAGCGCCCGATGCCAAGCGGCGGAAGTCGTAACGAAAAATCGAGGAAATTCGGAAGGAGGCTGTATATCAGCGAGTAGAACACATAACTGCAGTATATATAATTGTGTTACACAAAAAAAGAACGTCGACGGAAAAGAAAACACGACGTTTGGGTGGACGCCACGGATGCCCCTCTTTAAAGTCGCGTTGGGCAGGCGCCGCTGCTCAGAGAGCGAAGAAACTGGTAGCGTAGCTCCCTATATCGATTGGTAGCGCAGGCAGGTCACTTCCTCGATTTTTAGTTCGTGCAGCCACCGCCTGGTGCCGTCGGTATGTGGAAAAGGTCCATTAGGTTTGAGAGTTTAAAGCAGAAAAAAAAGCGCGAACGAAGTTCGGGCAGCACATACACCCAACACCGGCGAAGCTTCTCACCCGGGACTTTCACTCTTTCGAACGCACCAGCAAGGGGCGAAAGTGCCGATAGCCCTTCCCGTCTTTTCTCTCGCTCTCAAAATAGCGCTACTCACGATAAAATAGTCTAGGGTTATACGTCAAAGTTTTGTCGTATTATGTTGCCAGGTCAGCTTCATGCGAACATAGTGAAGGTTACATTTGTGAAAAATTTATTGTGCGGTTTCACTTCATCTGATGTCACATTTGACCCGGTAAATTAAAAAAAAAAGTAAGCAAATATGGCGACGGAGACTCAGTAATAGAGAAAGGGGATCAAGTTCCCCTACCTGGTTGTTCTTACACATTTAAACTGTTGTACACTATGCTAATAGTTCAAATCGTTCGACTTGGGTTGAGGCCGGAGTGCTTCGGTGGCGGGTGTTTCAAGATGAAAACACCGCTTTGACGGCGGCGAGTGACCCATTGCGTCAAGGTGTACGAACTAGCGCATATACCGTGAGCATGAATAAACAAAACAATCGCCGCAAGGTGTCACTCGACGTGGCATCTTGCGACCGTCTATGGTCAAATAAGAATGTCTTGAAGTGGGAAGCACATTACAAGTCTTGCTGCGCTAAAAAAAAAAAAAAAATTTATAAATAATTTTCGTCGTCCACAATGTGCGCACGATCCTCAAAAACGCTTCCTAGAATCCTCGCGCTCTACGGGAAACTTGGCTGCTAACGTTGTCAGTGCTCCAGGGTTTAGATGGCTGCTTGGCCAAAGCCGTAGATCATTTTTCCTGCCGAGTTGACGGTGATCAAGACCATCGTGATAATGAGCAATTTCAGCATGAGGCCCAGGATGAACTGCGAACGAGAGAAAGACGCGACGACAAAGGATTACGGGCAATCTATTCTGGCGTAGCCTCCTATATACTGAAAAAAACATGGCAGATCGCCGCGAGAAGCGGCCGCCAAAAATGGAAAAGGTGGAGCGGCAACGGACGAGAGTAGAGCTACGTGACTAGCGCCCCACTCCGGCGAGACGCCGAAGTACAGTTCTCTCGAGCGAACAAGTGTCTTTCGGGTCCTCGCCGCTGCAAAAGCTGCGCGCTGACGTCCAGGTTCACCGAGAAATGGCTCTTTGATGTCTGTGCTACAAGATCCTCGCGCTATAAGTCTGCGACCGGGCACACTATGGCTCGGTCGTCGAACTGCCAGGCTTTGTGAGTATAGAGGAGGCTATGGTTCTAACCGTTCACACAAGTCAGCTCGCGGGAGCAACAGCGCTTGCTTGCGATCAAGACAAAATTGCAGCTAACAACCGCGTTTCTTTGTTTTAGTGCTCGCATCGAGGGCCAGCGTGGTTTTCGTCATAATTTGACTGCTACAGTCACTGCCAACTTTAGAAAAGGCGGGCGTGGCTTATGAGGATCACGTTTTTGTACTTCGTGACTCATCCCGAAGCGAGACTGATCAGGACTGATGCGCCCAGGACTCACTATGCCCTGCTTTTCTTGGGCTGTCAGTGAACCTAAGTTAAAGTGAGAAAGTGTCGTCAGCAGTGGCGGACCCCTCTTTTGAATTCTGCACGTATAAAATTTAGGGGCGGGGGGGGGGGGGGGGGGGGTATTTTTTTAAACATGTGATACGCTGACCCTCTCCAGAGAAGATACCTGCATCCGCCCAGCTGGCCGTCAGTATTCCAGACGGGGAACTAGCGTTGTAATATAAAGTGGCAGGTGAAAACTATAGCTGCTGTATACACTAAACAAGCAGAGAAACGACTGAATTGTCTAACCGTGCCATTGCGCAGTGATGTCACATTAGGGGCACATCTATGTGACCCCTGCTGTCTGAGATATCGAGGTCTCACTTTAGTCGGACAACGAAACAACCCTCGTCACTATACTGTGTGTCTTCGCCGTTACTTTTGTTCTTGTCTTTGGTTTTAAAACAACGTCTATAGTTTGTATTGCACTTTTTCGGGAACGAAAATGTGAGTTTATTTTGCAAATATACATCGGTGAAAAGCGTGTCGTCGTAAATATCATGGTAGAAAGGTATGTAATGTCAGGATTAAACTGGAGGCTATCATTTATTCTTTCCTTCTTTTCTTGTCCGCGCCAGGAGTGCGAGCGGAACACGAAGCATTCCTTGGCCCAGTCGGATACTGCACAGACTTCATCTCTCAATTTTCGATCATTGCTCAGTCAACTCACTGTTCTTCTGATAAAAGTATATCAGCTCTGGCTGTGGAAGGATTGGTACCAAACTCGTTCATATTTAGGCATTTTTCTGCGATTTTTTGCCATATCTCAGAATTTAGTTTTGAAACTGAAACTTTTTGAACAGTTTTGAACAGTTGAACAGTGAACACATTTTAATAGAAACATTTGAGCTCGGCTATTGTAAGTCTTTGTTTTAAATACGCCCGGAAATTTTCTAAATATCGAAAATGTAATAATTGTGCAATGTTTGAGCGACAATAAAAAAAAATACATATACACTCTATTTTCTCTAAACTTCCCTCGATGAACTTTTGAAAAGTGGTAATTAAAATCCGCGAAAATATGTTGTATTATATTGTTTTAAATTAGAAAAACGAAAGTAGCCAGGTTTATGTTGCAGTTAATTACCGTTGGAGGGCTTATGTCTCAACCACTAGTGGTACTCGAGCACCGCATCCACAGTGGCTGTACTTGGTCCCATCGTCTCCCAGACACCACGGATCATTATACTAAAAATCTAAAGAGATGTTGTTCTATTTTTTTATTAAAGATGTGGTTGATATTGGCTAAGAAAGCTGAACTTTACGGTACGTTCAGCTTTGAGGCCGTTGTACTTGGTAGATTGCGCTGCACTGTGCTACTTTTTCATTACAGTACTTTATTGCCAGCAGTATACTGACCAAATTGCTCGATTCATTACTCTAGCCATTACTATACTCTGTTTCTAATTACGTTGAACTGTAGCGGAGGTTACGATCACTCTCTCGGCCAATTCAGCGTATCAAGTGACAAGGCATCACTGCACCCCCCTCCAAGGTCACGTGACGCTAACACGTCACTCATCACTCATCTGGCACTACTTTACAGAGCAACGGCGCCGCTTTACAGGAGCTGATATCTCCAAAAAGTCAACAGTTGCACGCGCAAGCGAAAAAAAAAAAAAAGCACGCCAAGAAAGCAAAGAGGACAACGAAAGTAAAAACCCTCGTTATCAAAGCCAAAACCCCGCATCACTTCACATCACTAACACCTGCGACAGCTGCTAAACACACACTACTTCACTTCAGGAAGTCTCATTCAAGGACCTGGGTCAACACGAAATACTGATCACTTAGGCGAAACGATTAGTCGAGGTAGGCGAGACAGGCGGGAGCGGAGACTTCGGCGCCCATGAAAGAATGGTGAAGCTTTTGTTTGTTATGGTATGAATCCAAACGGAAGTACCCGTCTTGTAAATATTTTGTAGAGAATAATAACTTATGAGTTATTGTTTAAACGTAAAAATATGCCGCTGAAGATGAAATTGCAACATATCACAAAGGTTTAATAACCAAGATATAAGCTGTTAATCAATCTCTTAGCCAATGAGAAGAGTTGCTGACACGTCACTCCGTGACGTATTGCAGCCACTCCGTGACGCATAACAGTCACTCCTTGACGTATAATACCAATTTTGTGGCGCGCGATTTAAAACGCACGAAATAGCTGCAAACTAAAATCAGTCTCGCTGTATTTTTTTTTTGTGTGTGTGTGTGGAAAATTTATTTGTTTTTTACATGTTTGTCCCAATTAGGCTGTTTAAAAAAAACACTTTTTTTTCTTTGCAGTTACCCTTTCACATCTCCTGTTCGTGTGCTTCGTTAAGCTACGAGTCATACAAATCAATCCAAGGTCGTGTTAGTGTCGTGTGACCTTCGAGAAGGGCGCTTCGACGCGGTGTCACTTGATACGCCGAGCTGGCTGAGATAGCGGTCGTAACGACTACTACAGTCTATCGCAATTAGAAACGCAGTATAGTAATGTCTAGAGATATTAATCGAACCATCTTGTCCTTCGACTACCCGCAATAAAGCACCACCCCGGGAATGTAGCGCAGTGCAGTGCAATTAACCAAACAAAGCACCCTAAGTACCGAAGGCGCCGCCAAATTCTGTTTCCAAAAAAAAAAAAAAAATATTAACCACATTGCCCCCCCCTCCCCCCTCCAAAAAAAAAAAAAAAACATTTTAGGTTTTCTTTTTTGTGTGTTTTATGGTGTCTGGCGGATATAATGCAACCAAGTACAGTCACTGTGGATGCGGTGCTTGAATAACACTGGTGAACGAGACATAAACCCCTCTAAAGTTGAGGCTTGGGCGAGTTGGTATGACGTACTTCAGAAGGTAAAAACGGCGCAAAAAACGATTGACCGCATGAAGGCAGACACAGACAGAGCGCTGTTTCTTTGCCTGCCCTCACGCGGTACGTCGTTATTTTATTTTTTTTTTTTTTGCGCTGTTTTTATCGTCTGAAGTATAAACCCTACACCGGTAATTGACTGACACAGAAACCTATGAAAACGTCTATTTTTTTTTTAGCCAATTTAGTACAAGTTTTTACGGATATTGAATTACCCGTTTCGAAAACTTTATCCAGAAAAGTTTAGAAAAATATCGAGGATTTTTTGTTTAAACTGTTGCACAAATATTTCACAATTTTGACTTTTTAAATATTTAGAAAATTCCCAGGCGCAGTGCAAAAAGCATTTAGAATAATTGAGGGATAACATTTTTGTTCAAAGCTAAAAAAAAAAAACATGAAGTTCTCTGCACAAAAAGTTTCAGCCTAAAAACTTTATTTTAATATGTGTTAAAAAATCGCAGAAAAATGTTTAAATAAAGAAGAGTTGCCCAAGAAGTCAAGTTTTTCATTTTATTTTATTTGGAATATAAATTTATATAAAATATATCTAACTAGTTCAAATAGACCAGGCGTCGTGCTTTATACATAAACATGTTTACGTTCCAGAAATTTCCATTATGTACTCCTGTGGCCCTCGAAGTTGCGTTTACGCGCAATTGGGAAATTGGTTCTTCCACCTCCTCTCGGACGCGATATTTTTTTTCACAAAAACAATGAAGATTTCTTTTTTAAGTAGTAAGGTTTATTTTATTGTATGGACAGGTTTTGCTACTTTATATAAAATGGAAGTGAGGACAAAAAAAAAATAGGCATGACACCCCTATGACCGTCTTTCTCTGAACACGCCCTACAAGAGCAATTTGGATTCTTATTGAAAGCGCATACGCTTTCAGTAAAGTTTGAAAAAAAAAGAGAGATATTAGTATACACTACGCATGGGCCCTTGAAGCATGGAAGTCGCGCCAGTATCTTGGCGCGGTTATTTTTGTTGGTACTCTGCTTACACTTTAACTTGCCTTGATTTGAAGGAACGAGATTATCACTTTCCGTTTATTATCACAATATTGTCGCGAATGGCGATTGACGAGGCGACGAAAACTGAAATAAACGTTTAATGGGGCGAACTTGTGCCCAAAACAGAAAGGAAACAGAAGGAAACTCTATTGAGTGCCGCGGGCGTCAATAGCGGCGTAACAGCAGGATCGATCGCTGGGGCGAGACTGACTCCGGCTCGCCACGCGGAGCACCGTTTGTACCCGCGTGTTTCTCTGGAACATTCATCCTAGAACATTCGGCGCGTAGAACATTCAGAACTCGATCAGACGAGGATGTTCTCGAACTTACGAGAGCGCCAGGTTGAAAGAATAAATAAAAGGGCAGTCCTCTAACTAGAATCAAACCTATAGAGTCTATTGTCTATTCACATGACGTCAGACCACCTTTTAATGTCGAGTCACTACACACAAGCATGGCCGCCGAAGGCCATAGCGGTTTGCCGATAGGCGAGTTTGCTTTGCCTTCTTTTATTTTTCACCAAGCTCACGAATAAAAGTTCCGCTTTATCGCTCGGCGGCCATGTTTGTGGGTGATGACTCAGCAAGTGAATAGACCCTATACCATCCGCGCGACAGTCAAGCACGATAACCATTCGGCCATGCACGCGCTCGCTTAGCGACGCGCGTGGCAATATATCGACTACAATAAATCGTGATTCGTGAAAAAAATGACGAGGCCATTTTCAGTAAACGTAACGTACTCACCAGCTTCAGGAAGGACACTCTGGCCACCTCATGCAAGATGACTAGCGGCACAGACGCAGGCATGATGAGATTGCTGAAGGCTCCAACGATGACAGGAATTGCATAGTACGTTGGGTACATGTTCTTAAACGTCGCCTGCCGTTGGAAAAAAAAAGCGTTTAAGCCGGGAACACATTTGCGAAAAAAAGCCGAATTTTGTGCGAAAACCGCACACGAAAGTCGCACGGCAGCTAGGCTCCTTTTCCCTTGCTCCTCCCCTTTTCCGAAAATCGGGACGGGACGGAACGAAAAGAAACGATCGGCTCGCAACATGGCGGCTCACGCAGCTTCGGAAGCAGCGCAGGCACATCGTATGCCATCCCTGCGTTCTCATCTCAACCTTCGTGGAAAACCCCTTCTGTCTCTATCAAAGGGTGGTGGTACAAAGGCTCGCGTGGCATTCAATGAGGTTTTAATAGCTGAAGTGTTTAAGAAGCGCGAAATATGGAACGCCAGTTCGCCAGACTACCGCACAGCCTCCTGAAGTCGGAGCACGAAAACCGCAGTGCATTGCGATTTCCGCGCCGCGCATTCCACCTCATGTGGCTCGTCTTCCGAAAATCGCAAGCAAGGATTTTCGCAGCCTCCGATTTCTCTCCGATTTTCGGTTCGTTTTTTCGCAAATATGTTCCCGGCTTTAGGAGCGTTCTTTTTTTTTTTTATGGCAAATTTGACAAGTGTCTTGAGTATTGTTACTGAAAGTGACTGAATGTCAGGGGGAGGGGGGGGGGGGGAGCTCTTGTTTGCCATACGTATACAAAACAAATAAATTAGTCGTTTGTTGTTTAGACAATGGGAGTTTAGTCTGTCAGAGAGGGTGACGTTATTTCCCACTGTAGATGAGAAATGTACTACTTTGCCAGTGCAGTGCGACTGCTAGCCTTGGGTATTGAACTTGCATCACGCAGTAGTGATACACGACCGCACGCCGGTACGATGCTCATCCAGATCGAAACGGGCAGGGGTGGGATTGTACCTAGGATTCCGGGGGTTCTGCAGCGCGAGCTTTCACTCCACGTGCTCCGAGCTGGTCTGCGTTAGCACACTTGGCCGCCGATCCCCCTCGTCGTACTTATAGCGCTAGCACGCCGCTGTTGTGTACCCCAGTTAGAAGGCGACGAAGCAGACCCGGAGCTCGGCCCTTCTCCTCGTGGTGGGCTTCGGCCTAGTTAATGGCAGACTCTATCCCTCACTTTACCTCATGTGCACATAGCTGGGTAAACCCATCTATCACAAAACAGACGCCTTTCGTGTGACTGTGTACGCCGTGCAGACCGCGGGATTGTTCGCTATTAATTTGAAGTTGTTTGAATCCATTGGGCGTACGCATCGCAGCCTGTAACCTGGTTTTAGGTGTGGACTGCGTGGCTGCAAGGTGGCGAAGGTACAACTATGCTGCCGTATTTGGTGAACGCGTGCATAACATCAAACCTTCTTCCTGATTGAGCGCAGCACTTACAATGTTGGAGACGATGGGCATCATCCCTTGAACGAGTTTTCTCTTGTCGGTTATCTCCGCCAGAAGGGACGCCATGGTGGCGAGTATCATCTGCACCCCGAGCGGGGATGTCCGCACCCAGAACGTCCTGTCGAAATGGTTGAAGATTTCCCCCAGAAGATCGCACGTCTAGACAAAGATACACATTTTATTATGCGCTTTTGCACATTACGAGGATTTCCAGAAATTTTTATACACCTTTAGATTGGATTTTCTGACCCCTCTCTGCAAGAGGCGTTTGATCGTATCCCATTCCCCTCGAAATGCTGCATATTGTTCACAAATTATGAAATATCTGATCAACCGGAATGTTAACACTGACGTTTCAAGAGAACGGCTACAAATATATAGCTGCTTCATTAAATGACAATATTGAGTTGTTACAATGAAGGGGCGCAAAAAGATACACATCCAGACGACTTTTAAGTGGGCAATGACTTGAAACATTTAAGTGGAAGTAAAACCTCGAAACAAATATTAATTTATACACCTAATTTTGCTTCCCCTTGCGAATAATTCTATATAAGGTTGAAATGTAAACCGTGTTAATACATATTCTCTTTATTGTTTTCTAGATTACCACTTTTCCGGAGGAAGTAGTAATTCCTTTAAAGGGGATGCCCGCCTCTTTCAGTGTATCCTTTTTTCTATGAACAGGAACAAAACAAAAGAAACTGATATTGCATTAGGAATCGCTTCCAATGGTATTCTGAAATAGGTCACAAGTCAGTTCAGTCGCAGAAACATAACCTAGATCCAGCATTAGCGTGCCTCAATGGTATAGCAGAAATTAGTTCCTGTTACCTGGACGAGCTTCGAAGCAACTTGTACCGAGCCGAAGAGAAAGACGATTCCCCATGGAATTTCGCTCCAGGTTTTGTGTGAGCCGGAGAGTCGGCCCTCGTTGTGGCACCTCAGTGATGTGACCAGCAGCGCCACTGAAGGCAGCATTCCTAGAAGGGCGACCCTAATTAGGGTTCAGAGTGATATGCGAATTAGGTGCGTGGTATCCTATATACGTAAGGTCTACTTCACTTACGTGCGCTGTAGCTAAAAGTATACGTGATGCTAAAAAAAAAAAAATTAAAGGGCGACGCAGTATTTTTTTAACTTTCTGTAAATGCAGTTTTAAATGAATACTTGACATTCATAACCTATGAAACACGGGGTAGTCTTTAGTTCTACGCAATACCGGTCGCAAAAAAATAATTTAAAAAATACCAGGAACGTTCGCCCCGTCAACTCGCATCCAGAAGGAGCGTCCACGTGATCTGGAGCCAATCATGTGCCGACAATGTTTATCATAGTCACGCACTGGGGTTGGCAAAGCACAGGGAACGCGCCGAGTTCCACATAATGTTAAGGTTCGGCTATTTCCGTCATCGCAGCGATTGGTCGCGAGTCGTTACCCGAAGGCATGTCGATGCATTGATTCTCATGAGCCCACATCGATTGCTCACGCAGTTCTGGTGTCCACAGTATGAGTCACGTTTAAATAACGTCACCGTGGGGATAGCGAAGTATGAGGATGATATCATATGGGGATCGAATTATTGACAACGCACACGATGCGATCCCCGCAACTTTATCATCAAGTTTTGCGAAGGAGAGACGGAACGAAAACGTCCGCTTTTATCCGTGAAATAAAGCAGTGACAAAGCAGCTTCGTGGTCAGTGGGGTTGCGCGCGAGTATCCTTGTGTCCCCCTAGTTCCAATACGCTCGAGTAAACTGAGGAACATTCGTACACAATATCGTTGCATGGCCCCTTTTATGGGATACTCAACCGAAATTTGGATTTCGCAAAGTAAGACTGCAGAAGTGTTGAACGGGACGCTACGAACTCCAAAACATCACTCGTACATCGATATCTCAAACGGATGGCCGTACCTTTGGTAAAGAAGGGCGCGATCAAGCGAGTTCTTTGACGTAACTGTCCTCCGGGAGAATTTGAGAATGAGGAGAAGCGGCCTCGCTTCTCTCCTCCTCGCTTCGGTTCATCAGCTTGACGAGACGTAGCGCGGAGGAGAGAGAATGGGAATCGTGACGCGCCTTGGTCTCGTCGGCCCGCCGGCCGGGTTCAATCGCGCACTTCCTTTCCACAAAATACGGCGATCCGTTAGATATATCGCCGTATGAGTGATATTTTTTGGTTTTGCAGCTTCTCGCCTATCCGCCCGGCCTTGTTTAGTGAGCTCGAAATATCGGTTCAGTATCCTTTTAAAGAGGACGCTTCCAAGGCTTCAACTCCAATAATGGAGGACTTCCTGGGGCTTTCGCTTCGATGCAATAAAGCGCGAGACACATGTACGACGAAACCTTCCGATCCGACGTGCGGACTGCCGGAATGACCTTGGGGGGAGAGGGTTTTCGTAGCATCGGAGAGCGTTGAAAACCCTCACCTCCGACCGTCGTATTGCGCGGTCGGACGTCGGATCGGACGGTTTCGTCGTATATGTGTTTCGCGCTTAAGCCTCTAACGCATGTTCGTCTGTTGTGTTTAACGTTTTATAGCGGTCATGCATCAAGAGTAAGTCGCAACAAATGACGTTACACGAGCCGGCATGCCATCTTGTCGTATGCCGCGATCCTGGCGGTTGGCCGTAGAAGTTCCGGCAATAAGTACAAGCGAACACGAGTGTCGCTGTCGTCGTGACATTTCAACTCATGACTGTTGAAGCTTCTGCGCACTGTCAAGCTGGAGTGTGGCCTGCAGCAGAGCGGCTATCTGCCGTATTCATCTTTCCCGCTGTGCCATCGCTAGGATCGCGGCAGGCGGCAACATGGCACTTTTACAACGTCATCGGTCGGTAATCGAGGGACCATATTTGAGAACACGGTGAGCACACCAGGCTGCAGGACGGATTTCAGAAATCATAGAGGCCGGGGATTTCCCCAGGAATTGAAATTGGGAGGGAGGGGGGGGTCTAAATTTTTAGGGAGTGGTTAGGGGGAGGGGGGCATTTAGAATAGAGGAGTCATTGCAAATTAAGGGCGTGCCTTCAGAAAAAAAAAGGGGGAGGGGGGTTATACACCTCCCCCGAAGGGGTTTGTAGGATAATCACTGATAGAAGCAACATACGAAACATGGGAAGGGGGCTCTGCGCGAAACTTACCTGGCTTCCAGCCCAAGCAGTACCACGGGCACCAACAGTATGCAGAAGATGAAAGTGCACGCAATGCAGGTAAATATAGGCAATCTGAGAAAAAAAAAAAGAAAAATGAAACGAATATCTTTACGATCTTCGAATGTGGTTCTGAAGGCTCTTGCGGAGTAAGGTAAGGGTCCATTCAGACGGCAGCGTTTGAGTACACCTTGTGGCGGCTTTCGTCACGATAAGACTTCGAGCTACCATGCCAACCCAGCATGGCGTCGCTCGCTTGCTGGGGTGACAGATATGAAGAAATTGCTTTGTGCAAGGATAACTGGACGTCGTCACAGAGCGTGTGAAATTCAGAATACCTAGCGGTGAAAATTCACTTGTGCACTATTGTGCGCAGATTTCGGCAACATCATGAAGGCCTGTTTGCAGGCGATGCGGCAGGGTCGGCGCTCGCACCAAGCTCCTCATAATAACGGTCACTGTTCGTGGCTCACTGTCATAAAGAATAGTGCTGTTTGTTCTCTCCAGTAAAGCCCGACTAGTTTTTTTTTTAAATGTAAGTTCTGAGTTAGGATTATGACAGCGGTTGTTGCCAAAGAGTTACAACAGTGCATGCTTACTTATCGATCCAAACATTACTAATTCTCAAAATTTAAGTACAGGCATTTAGCCTGTACTTAAATTAAGCAGCCCCCCCCCCCCCCCTCCCCCCCCCCCGATTCCTAAAAACAATTTTTTTTTTAATTGCAGTTACGCATTACAGAACGCTCATCCTTTGCCCAAACGTAGCCCTGACGCTCCGAACCAGACGACAAAGTTTCAGAACTAACTGTTATCTTCATAAAAAGTTATAAACGAATTTCTGAAATTTTTAACTAGAAAATGGCCGCCGATCGACCTTCTGTAATACATGGAGCTGAATGGCACCGGTTATCGAAGACGGGTAAAAACGAGCCCCGTTTTCAAACTGAAAAGTTTAGAAAATCAGTATCAACTTTTGATTGAGATAACGGTTAGTTTTGAAACTTCGGTTGAGACCGTTAGGTCTACATTTGGGTGGAGAATAAGCGTTCGATAATGCGTAGCCTAATTTTGCGGTGAAAAAAAATATTTTGTAATTTTTTGGGGGGGGGGGAGGGAGGGGGATCTTGTAGATAATTTCAAATTTGCCGGATTTAATTTCAGCTGAAAATCATCTGCGTGCGCACAGTCCCCAAAAATATGAAAGACCCATTCGACGAGACAGTTTTACGTCGGTGTTCTGGATTGGCTCTGCTTGACCGAGAAAATAAATGATTTTCTGAACTATTCTTTCTTATGGCATACTTATCACCGCCCAAAAAACTGCTTGCGCAAATGGGGCTTTCATTTTGTGAAAGACGGTACCTTGCAACCCATACACGTGCATTCTAAAATTTCCCCTGCGTCTTCCCTGTGCAACTCCATGAGGACCAATCACTGCTGCCAACGGAGGGAACTCGGCGAATGACGAAGCAGGAAACACGTTTCTTTTCACACACAAATAAGATTAAATCTGCCATATTGCTCTGAGCATGGCATTTCACGTGGCACGTTATGCTCTCTGTCCCACCCCAATTTTTTTTTTTTAATACTCTTCTGGTTTTGTCATTTGCCGAGCTTTTCGTCAGACGGGATGACTGACTCTTCGAGCGCTAGCTCTTTGAAAACGTAAACGGATAGAACGAACAGCGCTAGTTTTTATGACAGTGAGTCACGAACAGCGACAGTTATTATGAGGAGCTTTGTGCGATTACCTGGCAGCGCTACTTCCAAAATTTCGTGTTTTTTTTTTTTTTTTTGTTCTTTTTTTAACTCACGTTGAGTGTCCAAGGTCCTCGAGTTTGAGGAGAGCAGTGTTTATGGTGGTCGACTGTTCTTCGCTCGTTGTTTCCGGCTCACTGCGGAGAAACTTACACTAATTAGTGTTTCAATGAAAGTAGCGATAGAAATATAATATTTTCGCGAGTCTGAGTGGCTAAATGGATAGTTTTTGCGGAGGAGTATACGTTCCGCCGTAAGCAAACATTAAGCTTAAACTTTTGGCACGTCCATTGAGTTTATTAACCGGGGAAAGCGTTGAGACAGAATATAGATTCCTTAGAGATGTGAAGTTGCACGTTGAGAAACTGTAGGTTGGCTTCGTCAATTTGTATGCAAGATACGTTACATCAAGGTTATGATGGCGTGTTTGTGAACGTCAAACTTTTCGATGAGCAAATATTTAAACACAGCTTTGCACGATGATAACCCGATGCATAACTGTTGAGATTGAAAAATACTGAATAGGACCTCTAATCTCCTTCTTCGCTTGGGCTGAACTCTAGCATTAATATCGAGCAAATACCTGCTCCTATTTTATTACTCTAATGATACATAGCTCTCGGTTCGATGACATCTAGCTCTTGTTAATCTCTATGATATCGACTGTTGAGTCTTATCCACTGGAATTCAGTTCCACTTACCAATCTGCGTGAATTTCATTGTTCTATATTCATAATTAGGGCTTAAAGATTTAACTTGAAGGCATTCTTATTTTTTGTTCCCCATAAACATCATGTGGCTGTAGTGCGATGAAACATGGAAGGGAACGTGGAACAGAAGACGTATAGGGAGCCCTCTTGCCGTCTTATTACGCGATATCTTATTCTGATTCAAAAGAAATTTTCGGGACACGGCAAAGAAAACGGGTATTCTTTCGGCGAGAAAACTCTTATCTTTCGGTTTTCTTTACGACTCTTTTCAACGGAATGATGAATAATTTAATGTAGATAAAGATAATGGCACCGCGTTACGATTTCAGTGTGAGACGCTTGTTTAATCAGGAACGGGGGATTCGACGAGAGCGCCTCTTACTGGGGAAGTACTTGCGACCGACTGATGTAGGCACAGATGAGGACCATGGCCAGCAAAGATCCAGGTAATGTGAAAATCCACCAGGAGGTCGCCGAGATGACGCCTTCCGGAGACTGGTGTCTAACCGAAGACAAACAAAAGCCTCTTTCAGCCCGGGGTACCGGTTCACAAGGATCATATTCAGTAAGTAACGTTCCCCTCAAAGGGTTACAAAAATGTCTTCGATCAGCACGGTAGTACTCGATTCTAGAAGAGAAACACACGAGGACACAATATTTAACTCAAATTATTATCTCACTATAGACGCTTTTTTCGCGCGCCATATTTGCGCTGCCATAACTGACTTTCTGCATTCTCACGATATGCCCAGTCAACGAAATAGGCAAGGACAAATCTGCACAAAGGCTGCCACACAAAGGCTGCCTTGGGGACAAGAACACTGTGATATCAATAGAGCCAACAACTTAACGTGCGACCATAGTGCATGATGAAGCGAAGCTAACATAACGAAAGGAAACTAAAATGAAGGTCAGTTATGGTGGCGTTTATATACAGCAGCCAAAAATCGTTGATAGAAGAAAAAAGAAAACTCGTAAAAAGTGAGTAACTGCAGCAATTACTACCTTTTTCTGGTCGTTACTACCTTTTTACTAGCTATTTACTGCCTTAAACACGCGATAGCTAGTAAAAAGTTAGTAACTGCAGCAGTTACTACCTTTTCCTGACCGTTACGAGATTTCTAATAGCTATTTACTCTCTCAAACGCGCGACAAGTAATAGCTGCAGCTGCTACGCGGGGAAGCGAGAACATGGCTGCTGGGAACCTATGGCAACGCTGTTTATTAGACTCTCGCAAACAATTACTGTGTGTACCGTTACTACACTCCTTGGAATGTGTAGAAAGAATCCTGGAGAACAATAATCGTGCAAAAGCAGCACCATATTTGTCAAATTTTTCACAGACGAGGTGGTCCCTGACCCCCTCGTTTTGTGTTAGCGTGTCGTCGCGTGTGTGTTGTGTGTGCATTATGTGTTCTAATTCCTTGCATAGATTCAATGCATAATATGTGTGCAAACCTGAATGAAAGTAGCGTGGAAATAAAATCGATCAAAGAAAAAATACTTTTCTTGCCAATTTCAAATTTGACGCTGACTAGCGCCACCTGGTTCGAGAGTTTTAGTGCGACTCTTGCTATCGCGCATCGTTAATAACTCTTTTGTTATTATAATCTGCATCAACGAAGGAGGAAATACCTTTTTGCCAAGGAAGGTCCCTCCCTTTATGAGGGTAATAACAGACACTGCTTAGAGGTAGTAACGGCCACTGGGTCTTGTGAGAGTTAGTGCCAGTTACTATCTAAAGGTAGTGAAAGATACTAGGCTCATATTATCAGGTTAGTAAAAGCTACTAGCTCCTTTAGCTAGTAATGTTACTAATTCGATCGTTACTAACTGCAGTTACTAAGAGCATAGTGCATTTTGTGACAAGCAGTTACTAACTTTTAATTAATAAGAACTCTGAACTTTTTCCTAAGAGTGTAAGCTCAATGTACAATGTAAGAAGTACACGTTTTCTCGACCCACAATCTCCAATTTACAAGTGTATGTTTTTTTTCTATCAATATTTACGTCGAGTTCTACTGCACTACGCTGCTCAGGTAATGTTATAAAAGAGAAAATGTTCTTCTAGCGAATACTCATTGGAATGGAATAGCGGCATGTGAAGCATATTTTAGCACTGCAAGAAGAGCCGAGGGTTTCCCGTGCACTTCGAAGGCTTCGAATAACACAGTGCTATTCGATCCGAACTACAATTTGCACACACCTACTTTTTCGGGTTTAAAGACGTCCAAGAGTCCACTCAACAAGCTTCGTTTAGTACGACTTTACCGGCTCTACAGAGAGTTCAAACTGAGTGAAGATGAGGCTTAGAATGGATCTTTTGTATTTATTCGCGCGGTCTTCCCCCCCCCCCCCCCCCCCCCCCCCCCCCCCCCAGAAAAAACGGAGACCAGGATGTGTATAACTTTAGGCGAATAGAAACGACCGCGCCCTTTCTGTATTATTCGAGCGTGTCAATGTTCCTTGGCCATTTCGAGTCAGAAAATGGGCAACGTATCTCAGCCCAGGTGTTCGAACCAGGGACATGTGACAACAAAAGTCATATCGTCTAAATCAGGAAACCCTTTCATAAATGCTAGCACCTAAACGCTGCCGCTATTTCTCTCAAATACACACATAGCAACCTTGTGAACTGAAGTCTGGTTCAAACACAGGTCGGCGGTGGAACAAGAGGATTTTAAGGTTACTAAGGGTTTAACAAACGTAGGGCGTGATTTTCTGTATTCACGCTTCCCGTCTCGTGGTTTGTAATATCGACGTTCTTATCGCCGAATTCTGCAAATTTATGGACTTCGGAGCAATAATAAGTTGAACTGAACGCCTAAAAAAACAAGAGGAAGGAGAGACAACAAGTTGGCGTACTCAAAACTGAAAGTTTAATTTGAAAAATACACACTTGCATACGGTTTGTAACACATCACGTCATTGCTCTAGCTCCCACTCTTTCTCCAAAATAAAAATACAAATTCCTTATCAAGAAGGGCCAATGATGGCTCGCTGACACACTTGCTTGCGCCACTTGTTTTTATTTCAAAGGCTTCCTGTATCTTTCTTATTGTTTTATTCCCATGCCTTCCGAAGATTTTAATCTAAAAAAAAGTGGAGTGCACTCGTATCTACTGCAATGCACTGCAAAATGGCCCAAGGGTGGCTCTTTAGTGAGAGTAGCATGCTCCCTTGTACGATCATTACTTACGGAACGCCCAGTTTGGCCCACGCAAGAACAATGTCGTGGTGTGTTAGGAACCGTATATAAGTGTGTTTTTCAAATTAAACTTTCAGTTGCGAGTACGCCAACGTTTTGTCTATTCTTCCTCTTGTCTTTGTTTTTTAGGCGTTCTGTTCAGATGGAAAACTAACTAGCCCATGTCATTATTTTTATGAAATAATAAATTGCTCGGGACTTGTCACCCGCTGCGTTCCTTATGCAGCTATTGACTGAAGCGCGATTCACTCAGTTAAGTTGAGTCGGACCGAGTGCGAGGGTTGCTATGGCAACAGCTTTGTCGGCTCCACCAGAACCGGTTTTTACCCCGTTTTGTTGGAGCCGACGCGGCTGTTGTCATAGCAACCCTCGCACTCGGTCCGACTCAACGCAACTGTGTGAATCGCGCTTTATATTCGATGATCTAAGACGGTAGACTGGTGATGGTTGTACTTGGATGACAGCTCCTCGAGGACTTCTTTAGCTGGCCCACCCCAGTAGCCGCAGAGGCTTCCCAGGACAGACATCAGAGACGGACCGAGCAGGAAGGCGTTGTGCACGTCAGTTCGACACCTGAGGAAAAGTGAGCCCGTCACCAGTACGGCATAGGGAATATCGAGCGTGTATATTCCCCACTAGTTTTTTAGTGTGACGGCGCAGTATATGTGTGAGAATCGGCCCGCCATCACCGTGAAAGGACGCGGGAACAGGCTCTTTTCTTGGCGTGTTTGCGTTTGCACGTGTGCCCCGGTGTGTGGGTGAACTGGCGACGCTCCTGCGAGCTGGGGCAGGGGACATTTTTGAGAAAAGAAGACGAGGGCGGCACGTCGTGTGACCTTAGAAAGGGATTCGTAAATTAGCTTGGCTTGTAAATAGACGTGTTTTTTTTTTTTCCTCCTATCCGCGGAGTCCTGTCTGGGTTTCTCTTCCGTCAGCGACCATCAGCTGCCTCCGTCGTCGGGTCCCGGCGCAATCTCCAAGAAAGAACATCTTTACTATATGAAAGTTATTTATAGGGTCAAAATTGACCTATTAACGCAGGATTTCATTGTAAAAAAGGAATTAAACTAAAATTCGGAGCTCAAAAAAAAAAAAAAAAAAGAAGGCTGGATTGGTAGGTGAGACGCTGCAAAACCCCCAAAATATCCCTCATACAGCGATATCTCTAACGAATGGTCGTATTCTTTGGAAAAGAGGTGCGCGACTGAACACGGCCGACGAGGCCTACGAGACATGTGACGTCACGGTTCGCATTCCCTCTCCTCTTCGCTTCGTCCCCTCGAGCTGGTGAACCGAAGCGAGGAGGAGAGAAGCGAAGCCACTTCTCCTCATTCTCAACTGTTCAAGGAGGATCGTGACGTGATATTCCTCGCTTGATTGCGCCCTTCTTTTCTAAAAAAATACGGCCATCCGTTCGAGATATTGATGTATAAGTAGTGTTTGGAGTTCGTAGCGTCCCGTTCAACGCTTCTGCGGCCTTATTTTGGAAAATCCAAATTTCGGTTTGGCATCCCTTTAACGAGGATAGTCCAGATTCTGCTAGCGTCCGTTTTGCTTTGTGGCCGAGCACTGTTGAAACTATAGGATAGTTGGCCAGCTATAAAACTATAGTACGCCATGAACCAACTGCGCGTGTTCGCACGTGTCATATGTCGACACATAACTTACGAATCACCCCGCACAACATCCCTCGCCATAGCCCGCGTTCTCCACGTACAGTCGCAAGACAGAAAAGGATTGAAGTAATCAGGGGGCGATGTTTCGAAAAGACTCGGAGGGTGTCAGGAAAACGGATAATGATCTTAAACATCAAATGCTATTCCGCATGTGACGGTCTGATCAAAAAATCAAAACATAGCTGCATCTTTTTTCTTTTTCTTTTTTGGCGTTGTTTTATTATTGCGTAGACTAAAAAATCTGGTACGTCTACTTCCCCGCAAAGCACCTGGGAAAATCAATCGCTGCATTTACTGATCTCTGTGACAATTTGCTGGATCGCGCACTCTCGCTTGGTCGCTGTAGCGCGAGTGCGGCCACCGGACGGCCATCTTGTATGCAGCAAAATCGCGTTTTTGGAGCGTTGCGGAGGCTCGCGGGCAGCAGTGCTGAAAACACGTTTTCTACTCGTTCGTCGTCATTCGCTGAATAACTTTCTTAAACCCTTGTGAAAACGGTGAGAACTGCCTTTGAGAACACGTGGAAATTTTTACGAAAGTGCAGCGCCGCAGGATAAAGGCACAACTCGTC